GGGGGAGGGACTACAAGGTTGTTTCTGTTCAAAATTTTTCTAAGTTTTTGGGTACTCAAGAAACTACATACAGCAGCTTTAATAGGTGCATCATATAATTGCAAGGAATTAGAGATTTTATCATCTGCAGTCCATAATGTCATCAAAAGTTCAGAGAATCTGGACAAATATCTGCAAGAGACAATATTCCATTTGAACATTAAATACCTTGTCTTTGTAGTCCAGGGCAGGGCAATATTAACACAATTATCACAACTAACTGTGGCATTTAGCAAATTATGATTATTATGACAATTAATAGATGACAAAAGCTGAAATTATGGTCTTGGTCTGCATTTTCTAGCTTTCTTTGTACTGTAGTTTATGCCAATGTTTCAGGTGATTCAACATGTTCTTAGCTCTAGGGTTAGCATTAGCTGCTCCATAGCGCCTTCCACCATTGGGCTCACATATGTGCCTGATAGTGATAGTGTGTCAAAATATGTCATCATGACATGGCACTAATTGCAAAATGGCAATTATTAGTTGTGGAAAGTTTTACTAATTATTAATTGCATTTTGCCCAAACATTTTGTAGGGTATTCAATTGAATGTAAGTTGAAAACGATTTGCAGATCATCACATTCTTTTTATTTATATTTTACACAACTTTCCAACTTAATCGGAATTTGGGTTACTTGGAATTCAGTGATAATGCAACAAAAACATGTATTTTTCTTTCAATTTTGAGTCACAGATTAGTCAACAGTTGGAGGCACTAGTGAAGATGCTATTGGATTTGCATGCAGTAGACCGACTGAAACTATCACTAGGTGACCTTTTAAATAAAGTGTAGAGAAATGGTTCATCATGACAGCATCACATGCATTTAACTGTTCGCACACATGTTTGCTGATTTATGACAAACCTGCTACATTGTCAAGGTGTGCCTTTAAAATAAACTGTGATCGTCCACCCTAGCATGGTGTGTTGCATTCTCTGCATGACCTGCATTCAGCTGTGCTGTTTACCTACTTGTGCAAAGCAAATCCAACGGTAGGATGCCATTATGTGTACTGTCTGCTTAAAAGACTTGCAACAGGATGATGCCTCAGGCCTATCTCTAACCAGCATCACAGTCCAGTGGAGTCATTGCTCATGTACAGGGAAAAAAATAATTTAAAATCTTAAGCAAGGCCACTGAATAATGTGGATGAGATATAGCCAAGAGTAAGAAAGTGATATTGCTCGGAAAGGCTGCATTGAATAAATGTTCTGGGGGTGCGGAGCAAATGGATTATTGGAGTATAACTTTACAGAATGATAGACTTGGGAAAACAAAGGGGGCAAGGTGACATAAAGCAGACTGGGCAGGTGAAAGGTCAACATGTAGGGTGCCTGGATATATACTGTATGTTAGAGCAATATAAAGAAAATAGCAGATATTTTTCTTTATAATCTTGTCAAGAAGTCACATCAAGTCAAACATGTTTCTCACCATTTGAGCAGCCCTTGAATCGAGCCCCTCGGGCCGGTGCTCTTTGTAGATCGGCCTTGACTCGAGCCTTCAGACCCACGTTCTCCTTCTGCATGGCATTAAGAGCATCGCTGACTGAGTTCACCACCTTCACCATGTTGATCTGGCTGTCTGACAACAGCTGGGAGACAAAACAAAGAAAGAAACACACATTCACAGTTAACTTTAATTAATCTTTAAACAACGTTAAAACACCACCATCCCTCAGCAGCACTTTAACTATTTTACGAAGTGAGCCGACAGGTTTTATTACCTCCAAGACCATCTGTGTTTTCTGCCAATTTCACTACAATGAACACAGCTGAGTGTCAGACATGCACAGTAAAACTGAGCTGTGACTCAAGATGAAACATTTTGATATTGATGCAATTTTTTGCTTCCTTTTCTGCTCCAACTGAAGAAAAGTTTCCAAGAAATCTAATTTGACATTCAAACATCTAAATGTGATATGTAATATGATGCACTTTTCACCACCCACACAAAATATCTAACCCAACAGTTTGATAAAAAAAATCTAAAGTATTCTTCAGGCTATTTTGGTGTTTGTAATTTTCTGAGAAAAGAAATGGCGATGACTCATGTTGCACTTGGAGGCTTGTGCTTATTTACTTACGTACTTCAATAAAATGATAAAAATGAAAACGGTGAATATGGTCATTCAATCAGAGTGTGCAAAATAGCACTCTGCTGCCTTGTTTTATTTTTAAATATATTTACATTGTTTTCATGTAAACTGAGTAATCTTCTTAATTGTTGTCTTCACCTATGTTTCCTGGAATTGGTAGTTTTACCAGTAATGCAGGAGCAAATTGTATGTAATTGTACTCTAACACACATATCTATTAGCAAAAAGTACACTGTTTTAAATTGGAATCTAGAGTTTTTAAAGTGAGCATAATTGTACCAGTTCAGGTACAGAAAATTGAGAAAAACATACCTAAATAAATTCTATCCCATTTCCACAAAAACAAAAAGAGATGCTTTTGTTTCTTGCCTTTGAACATAAATGAATACAGATTACATGGAGAGCTTTAGAAGGTCTATTTTTGAATGCATTCTGATGCAGATTATTATTCTAAATTGTAAAATGCCCCTTCCATTGTCCTGAAGTAAAAAAAAAAATGTTTATAACATTTCAGACAAAGGAAAACAAACTCTTTTTTATGTTTGTACTATGTGTTTTCTCTGCAAAAAATAGTCTTATGGCAAAACTGGATATCTGAGTATCATTGAACACTCAGGCAGGAATATGTTTTTCTTGACAATGTGATGATAAAATGAAGAAGCATGGAACACATTTATAAAGGATTTAACAAAAACTAAATGCCTTGTTTTAGGTTGAAAGTCTGTTTGTTCAATATCTACCATAGAGTTGAGTCAAGGATGTGACGGTTTCTCCAAGACCTAGAGGATCTCAATGTGTTTCCAGACCAGAGAGAATAAATTATATTTCTTATAGAGCTGCGGCTGACAGAAATTTGAGCCAAACTGCACAGATGTTTTAATAGTTTGATTTTGGTTTTCTTACATTAAATATACTCCCCTCTCCCACTGTCAAATAAACTAAAAGCATGGGAGTTTCAGTAAATTAATGCACCACAGAGATTAGTTGATTAAAGTTTGAAACATATCTGAACTGACCCAGAAAACTCTGATGTCTGTTAGTAACTGTTAACAATGTCTGGGGCGACCACCGGCTAGCCTGGATCTCCATGCCACAGATCGAGTGCTTACCCCAGCGAGACGGGCCTATCGCTTCAGCTCTGAGTCTCAGGGGAAGAGCTAAACCCACTTCACCTGAATGCTTATTATCAGCCATGCAAATGATTGATAAGTGCCTTCCAGCCTACTAGAATGTAGAGGAGAGAGAGTCTGGACATATTGATATGAGACTGATAGCCGCTAATAATTTCCATTTAATGGAGTGACAATTTTTGAAGCGGGTGACATGGCCCAAAAATATAGGCGCTCTCACCCATTACTTCATGAAGTATGTAGATATGTCATTTTCTTTCAGAAACAGAATGGGTGTCCGGTGGCTTTTGACTCAACGAGTATTTTACCTTTAGCACGTCTGTGTCTGTCCTTAAGTTTCATCCAGTGGGACATGCCTGGAAAACTTCCAGAGGGAGGCGCCCAGGAGCATCCTAATCAGATACCTGAATCACATTAGGTGACTCCCCTCTATGAGAACGAGCAGCTCTCTTTCCCAAGCTCACCACCTCTCAATGTTTTTAAGTCCGGGCCTAGCCAATCTGCATTTGTATTACAGATTTATTTAAAATTGTGTTACTTTCTGAGATGAAGTTTGAAACATTCAGTGAATGGACTGAATGGAGAGCTTTGCCTTTTCTGGTCAACTCCTTTTTTTGCCACAACAGATCAGGGCAGCACCCTCATTACTGCAGACCAAGCACCAACCCATTGATCTATGTCCTGCTCCATTCGGCCACCACTCACGGACAAGACTCCCAGATACTTTAACGTGTTCACTTGAAAGCTTGAAAAGTCATTCTGAAACCACTGGAAATATGTGGTAAATTGCATTTACTGTATGTGAATCACAAGAAATTTGAAGTTAATAAACTGCAGCTATATGACCACAAACCCAGAGATGTCCGTTCAGGACCTTTTGACCAAAAGTAGATGCAAAGACTGCACATGGAACCTGATTCCATAATGCACTCTGGTGAATGTAGTGAAACACAAAGAGCCCTGGGGGAAGGCTGTTGATGAATGTGTGTGCTAGGACTAGTATAGAGCAGGATAACCTCTCTAATCGGCTGTGGTCACTTTCGTACTGTAGTTTTTTATATGTGGTTCATTACAGTAAGGTCATATTTGGTCAGAGTCTTCAAACAGCAAATGTTGCTCCCCATCCTATACACATATTTATACTTTTAAAATAATGAGTAATAATCTTCCTATCACTTTGGCTTCCACATACAATAAAGGCAGACCCCCTTTGACACTCCTCCTTTATCACCCCTCTTTGTTTACTCACACAGTTTCATGCAAACATGTACCCCTCCAACAAAAATCTACAGTATTCAAAGTCCGGCACACTATACGGTGTTCAGATTTCTCCATGCAATCATTTATGCAGTACAGCTACACTCAGCTGTTAAAGCAGCATCAGACAAAACCCCCCACCAGCCATTCCCTGGCCTCAATATCTTTGCAAGATGACACTGAGGCACAGCAAGCAGTGCTGCAATAATATCACTCTGGAAGTGTGAGTTAAACCCACACACACACAGATTCAAACAAGGCACGTTTATGTACATGCCCCCATGCAGGTGCAAAGAAAACTACAGGCGCATGCCTTTATACATTATAAAAGTGGCACTGTTCTGCTCAGCAACAAGGCAGGATTCAGGATAAAGAGACATATTTGTTTATGAATATGGTCAGTGTCTGGTCTATCTGTACGTGCTGCTGCTAAAATGTGAAAGATGGACGATATAGTTTGTGAGTGTGTTTCACATGTGCATTTGCAGTGTAAGCAAAATATGTCATGAACTCCAAGACAGAATTAAGTGAAACTTTCCAAAGATAATCAGTGAATAGGCATTTACAAATCATCATTGTATGAATCAATAAATGTCAATCTGTTTAAAGATGACCATCAGAGCAAAAAACACAAAAATGATTATAACTCTAATTATACAAATATTGACTTAAAAATGGTCTAGTAATTGCTGAGAGTCATTTCTAAGTCTTGACTGATTGGGTAAGATAATTTTAAAACTTTGACAATAGCCATTGGAGTCAAAATGCATACTCTGAGCATAACAGTTGTATGCAATTGCACATTGTTATTGTAAATATTTATT